CCCGCCGTTCGAGCCGATCCCTCGGAAAACCCCTTTTTCACAGACGCCGTAGTTGACGAAGAGTCGTTCAACCCCGGTCCGAGTCCGCAGGACTATTCATCGGCACAACCTCTCGAGACTATCGGTGTCGATAACTCTTGGACTGTTCTCCATGTCCCACTTAACCACGTCCTCCTTTCAAAACCGCCTCAGAAATTCAAGTTAGACCCCTCTGCATTAGAACAGAAGGCTTCTCAGCGGGGCCATACCGAACCGAATGTAAGTTCTGCCATGTTACATGAGCGCCCATCTACCGAGGATTTAGCCAAGAAGAACAAGCATTTGCCTATTGCGATATTGTCGATCTTAACCCCTATTATACCCTATCCCTCCAACTTGCGCCACTCTCTTGAACACCTGGCACCTCATTTAGCGGCAACTTTTTCTCTCTGTCGACATTATTCAACTCTTGAGACAGAAGTAATGGGTCTTCATCGGAAAAGACCCTCTACTAGCGGCTTTGGTGCTATTGGCCCCGATGGACGACCAGTAGCGGACCCTGTTATGCTCGCTCATTTTAATGCTGCGACGTCTGAAGATGCGTCTCAGCGGTCGGTTACTGGAAGCCTTACTAGCCCTAGTGAATACTCTGGCCCTTCAAGAAGTATCAACGCCTCACCTAATGGAACTCCGCTCTGGGATTCTAGCTCTTTTGGATTATTCGTTGAGAGGCGAACTGCTGGTACCAGCCCCGGCCAGCCGGGAGGTGACAGCTATTTCAGTTCGGTCCCTAGGAACGGAGGGATTCCCGCAGAACCGCCAACTCCAGGATCGTTAACTCAGCGTACTCCTCGAGTAGGTAATAAGGAAGGCGGCCTTACCTTTGGCAAGCAGCCCAGGCGATCAGGAAGCCTTCTGCAACACCAGCAAGACCTAAGCTCAATTGAGAAGGAAGCCGAAAGCTCGCAGGTTATATTCCGTAATGTTGATCCTTTTGATGAGGTAGTGATAAACCAAATATCAAAACCAAGGCCTACGTCAAAAGACACTTCCGATGTTAATATTGGCACGGAAAGCCAGCAGCTACGGTCGGATGCTGACGACAGTCGGAAGAGGTTGTCTAGTCAGAGCATATCACTCGGTGGTCATAAGCATACTATGCTACACTCGTACGGCGGGGACTTCTCGTCAACCTTTCAGTCCTTACCGCCCAGCACGTCTCTGCTCACAAAACCCACGTCACAATGTACAACGCCGATTCGATCTGCGTCTGCGTCTGCGCCGCATGTAACTATGCTCCCGCCTTCGGACCGACTAAAAGGACTTATGCTGGACTTATTACCGGTGCACGTATTTGTTGCATTGCCAGTGCACGGGGAGATTGTTTGGGTTAATAGTAGATATTTAACTTATAGAGGCCAGACTCTCGCAGACTTGGTTGCAGATCCTTGGGGGAGTTTACACCCGGAGGATCGTGAGGAATATATGCGTGCGTGGACACATTCCCTTCGGTCGGGTGACCAATTTGCCCATACCGTCCGCCTTCGTCGCTTCGACGGTACGTATCGATGGCACCAAGCTCGGGCGGTGGCCTCTCGTGATAGGCGAGGGGTTATAGTACAGTTCATCGGCTCCTACATGGATATCCATGATCAGAAAGTTGCCGAGCTAATGGCACTCCGTCAAGAGGAGATTGAAGTCTCGGAAGCGAAGCATCGTCTTTTAGCAAACTTGATTCCGCAGATAATATTTACCGCAACTGAAAATGACGGGATCACATTCGCGAACGAACAGTGGCTATCTTACACCGGCCAGAGCGAGGAAGATGCGTTGGGATTAGGGTTTATAGATTTTGTACATCCGGACGATTTGGCGAAGTGTCGACTACCGGTAGAACGCTCGACAGCGGAGTTTTCCGTTAAAGAGAATACGCCCGATACACCTTCTCAAGACCCTGCGTCGGAGCACCACCCGATACATACAGGCGCACCAATGGGCAGCCTGGGTGCGTCTCGTCAAAACAGTTTCAGCTCGGCTCGCGAATTTGTCACAGCAGATCTAGGAGATCTTTTCAAGCAAGGAATTATCAAAGTTGCGACAGATAGCAACGGGCGGCTTTCCTACACGACCGAGGTGCGACTTAGATCTAAGACCGGCGAATACCGATGGCATTTGATTAGATGCGTGGAAATCGACGACGTTGGTTTCGGCAGTACCGCAAGTTCCTACTTCGGCTCGGCGACTGATATTAACGATCACAAGCTGTTGGAGGAGAAGTTAAAGGAGGCCATGGAATCTAAGGGCAGATTCCTCAGCAATATGTCCCATGAGATCCGCACGCCGCTCATTGGTATCTCTGGGATGGTGAGCTTTTTACAGGACACAACGCTCAACGAAGAGCAGAGAGATTATACAAATACGATCCAGACAAGCGCCAATAGTCTTCTCATGATTATAAACGACATACTAGATTTGTCCAAGGTCGATGCCGGTATGATGAAGCTGAACTTCGAGTGGTTTCACACTAGATCCCTCATTGAGGATGTCAACGAATTGGTATCGACAATGGCGATCGCGAAGAGGCTCGAACTTAACTATATCGTGGAGGAAAACGTACCTTCTTGGGTCAAGGGCGATAGGGTTCGAATCCGACAAGTGCTTCTTAATGTCATAGGTAACGCTATCAAGTTTACCAGCGTCGGCGAAGTCTTCAGTCGGTGTAAGGTCTACTCCAGCAGCGCGGACGATCTTTCCGAGAACCAGATTATGCTTGAGTTCTCGATCATCGACACTGGCCGAGGTTTTTCCAAAGAAGAAGCCGAACTTATATTTAAACCCTTCAGCCAAATTGATGGAAGCAGTACCCGACAACATGGCGGCAGTGGGCTAGGTCTCGTAATTTCAAGACAGCTTGTAGAGCTTCACGGAGGGAAAATGGACGGCAGTGCTGAACCCGGAAAAGGTTCGACGTTTACATTCACTGCCAAGTTTGGGTTACCAAGCGCCGATGACCATCCTCACGTGGCCAATACTCCACCAATGACCGCGTCCATACGATCCCCGGCAGAAGAGAAGCCAACACATTTGATCAAGCCTCTTCTGTTACAGAGAACTATGGAGTCCGCTCCGACTGCTAGTCCCAGCTCAGATGTTGTTGATATTACATCGCCAGTTGCCGCCGAGTCATCTGCTAGCTCGGATCCTTCGGTTCGGTCCGTTCATAGTCTGACTACTGCACGATCATCGATTTCGTCGGTTGTTGGTCTCACGCACTTCAGCGAAGCCGCAAAAGCCAGTGGACAAGATCTTTCCCAGATGAAATTAGAGATGCCTTTAAGAAAGATGTCACCTCAAATGGTAGCTACTCCGGACGGGTCTAAATCCCCCATAGGGTTGGCACAATTCCGCCCGCCAATGTACTCAATCCTCATCATCTGCCCTCAAAAATATAGCAGGGAAGCTACGACGAATCACATCGAGATGACGTTGCCAAAAGACGTTCCCCACCAAATAACGGCAATGACAAGCGTGGCGGAGGCTGAAGAGGTGATCGGCGGACACGAATCTGTCACATTTACCCATGTTGTTCTTAATCTACCCTCAGCCGAAGAGATTATAGGTGTTATTGATAAAATAATCGCAAGCTCTGGCGGCAAGACGTCGGTCCTAGTCTTGACGGACTCTGTTCAGAGACAGGCAGTTCTTAGGCTAGCATCAGATCCTGAGCACCAGAAGCTTTTGGAAGAAAAACGAATGATATTTGTATATAAACCCGTGAAGCCATCCCGGTTTGCGGTAATTTTCGATCCAGGGAGAGAGCGGGACCTGAGTGTGGATTTGAACCGTTCCAGCGCTGCACAAATGGTGGAAAGTCAGAAGCAAAGCTATTTGGACGTGGAGAAGCGGATCGGTAATAAGGGGTACAAGGTGCTTCTTGTCGAAGACAACCCGGTCAACCAAAAAGTACTGGTCAGATATCTCAACAAAGTGGGCATCGAGGCGGAAATTGCCGCGGACGGTGTTGAATGTACCGAGAAAGTGTTCGCACACCCGCCAAATCACTACTCTCTAATACTGGTAAGTTTAGCATGCATGATACCGGTTCGACGTGACGGCAAGCTGACTATTTTGTGACAGTGCGACCTTCATATGCCGCGTAAAGATGGCTACCAGGCTTGCCGGGAGATTCGACAATGGGAGGCGCAGACCAATTATCGGAAGCTACCTATCATCGCCCTGTCGGCGAATGTTATGTCGGACGTACAAGAGAAGTGTGCAGCAGCTGGCTTTAGCGATTACGTGACGAAGCCGGTCGATTTCGTTGACCTTAGCACGGCAATGTCGAAATTCTTCTGATGCGCTGCTGTCGGTGGACAGTTGAGTTGGTCCTTAGCAATCGCTGCTTTCAAGACATGGTGGATGCATCTGCATGGCGTTCCCAGGAGATAGAGTTTTTAAAAAAGGGACAGCGTTGTATACCACGATTACATTGTCGGATGGTCGAGGTTGGAGATTTAAAAATATTTGTATTTTCTGCTGAACGGGGCGTGTACCACTAGGATAGGGTAGAGCATAGGCCAAGACCCAAGGTTCACATACGGTTACGGGATCTGCGACGCTCTACTAGGAGGACTCTGTACAAATGCAGGCCGGCCATCAGTCGAGACGGCCAAACCCGTCCGGTAACATTCATCATTCATCATTCATGACTTGACGGCTTTACAACGGTATGTTTGCTAGAGGAGGAAAAAGCGGTTTATTGGTTTAGCTAGAAACGGCTTTCGAGGAATGGCCGGCAGAAGGGGAGACTTCCCGGCCGCTCTCGTTCTTCTTGACGAGATGTTCATCCGATAAAGGAGTTCAGGATTTGCATGTCTTTTTTATTTATTTATTTATGGGTAGGGAAGCCTGATGAGAGCGATATCACTTTAGTTTCAATTGTGTGGGCATAGTTATCAATTCGATACCAATCATGATACCGGAGGATTATTATCTTATTTTAATCTTTATTTTTGATCATTATATGTGATGCTACAATGCTAGAATACAATTATACTGGTATGATGAGTACCTGATCTAAAGCTGCATGATGCCGGGTTTTTTTTTTAAAAAAAAACAACGCAGAGCTTCTCTCTAAGTTAAGCATGTGCTCGAAACTTTTCACCTCCTTTCTCACTTGAGATTATTGACTGTTTGGGTATCTAGGTATATATTAATTCCAATCCCTCCTTGTTCCTCAATCTTCCTCGATAACGATACCCTTCGGTTCCTCTACCGGCGTATCATCATCCCCTTTCGCGGGCGTCTCACCATCTGCCTTTTCCGCCGTCTCTACCGCATCATCTTTCTTCGCATCAGCCCTAGCCTTAACACCTTTCGACGACGGCGCGGCAGCCACGGTAGGTTTATTACCACCATCTCCCTTTTCCGCCGCACCACCACCACCACCACCACCATTCTTAGCCTTGGCCTTCCTCGCCTTAGCCTTCTCGCGCCTCTCCCTATTCTTCCTCGTCTTCTCGTCGTCGCGCCTCTCCCTCTCCTCCCTGCTCTTCTCAAACTCCTCCTTGGCCTTCTCCTGCGACACCTCCTCGTCCATGCGCCGCAGCCGCTCGTACTCGCGCCGCCGGCTCGCCTTGTACACGTGGAACTCGCCCGAGCCGGCGCCGGCGCTCGAGCCCTGCACGTTGGTCACGATCTCCGGGGGCGGCGGCAGGTCCCGCTTGCGCGACGCGGCGGACGCGTCGGGGATCCGGATCTCTTGGTCGGGCTTGGAGAAGAGCGCTTCTACGACGTGGGCTTGGGCTGAGACGGGCGTTAGGGCGCGCTTCTTGGTGGGACGCTTGGAGCGCGGGTCTGCGGATGTCGGGATGCTTTCGGGGCCCTCGCCTGACATTTTGGCTTTTTTTTCCTTTTCTTCTCCTTCTTCGCGCGGGTCCGGTTGCTGGTTGCTTTTGGCTATCGGTCTAGGCCAGGGCGATCTGGCTTGTTCCTGGCTAGCTAACTAGCTACGCTACGTGTTCGATTGGCGCCGACCCTCCTCCTTCCCTATCTTCTGCCGTCGTTGGTTCCGAGGGGAGGCAGGCTCTTGCGATTCGGGGAACGGCGTCGTATGTTGGTGGCGTGACGAAGACGCCTTTTCTGGTAATGGTGAGAAAATAGGAGATGTTAGGTGCGTCGGCAAGTATGTAAGAGGTAGATTGGATCTCGAAGGAATGGCACCGGTGTAAATTGATTGATATGAAAAACGTCTGTGATAGCGTGTTTTATCACGAGGCTGAGATTGTGACAGGTGATTTTTGATGATGCTTACCCTATGATGGAAGATGCCGATGAGGCTAACTTCGTACACGGCAAAGATAAAAAAAGAGTGGAACTATTAACTTGGATGGTAATACCACACCAGCCCGGCACCAGCAAGACATAACCTTGAAAGTGACCCCACCGGGTGTACCTTCCACAGATGGCCCCTGCATCATCGTGCTTAGACAGCCAGGTGCAGCCTAACACTGGAGCCGAAATCGGGTTCATTGGTCGGTCAGATGGAGGGGTTAAAGTTTTAACCAATCAACAAACTTTATTTACAGGTGAGTTGAAGCTTTTTAGGCTTCTTCGCGCATGGTTTACGGGGGAGTCCCGACAGCTTGTTTCAAAGGCTTTCTTCCCCTCCAACCAAAACCCATGCACGGTTCCTACCTGACATAGTGCAAGAGTCAAAGCAAGCGTCAAGGCCCTACCTGCATTCTTGGCTCCCTCCTGCTTCGACCCTTCTTAAGCCGGTAAAATCTACTTTTATTATTTATAAAATCTATATTATACATTCTTACGTACGACCTTGCAACCTTGCAACCTTACAACCACGTCTACGAGCGGCGACCTATCATTTTATATCTCACTCCCTCAACTCAGCCTGATGCTGCAGAGAGACCGAGAGAAATAATTTAAATACGAGAGTGTATATTATCCATGATTTCAAATCATTTGATTTAACTAGTCCAAGAATCAAACTTGTCCCGCTGTCCGCTCGATAGGGTGACTTGCCATAAAAGCCTCTGGGAATATATATCTAACCTAGCCTTTCCGAACGAAACGAAACCTCGTCGACTCTTCCGAGCTTCAAACTTCTTTGATACCCGACCTAACAAATCGACATCTACCTTACTATCTTGGAGAATAGCACCGTCGTAGGACCATCGCAGGAAACTATATATCTCTAGGACCTATTATCAGCAATCATGGGTCGCCCAAGACTCATTATATTAATCAGACATGCCCAGTCTGAGGGCAACAGTATGTCGCCACCTCCGCCCAAATAACTTGCCAACCCGAATACTGACAGCTACAACTATAGAAAACCGCGAGATCCACCAGACCATCCCCGATCATAGAGTCAAGTTGACCCAAGACGGATGGCAGCAAGCCCGCGACGCCGGTCGTCGATTACGAGCCTTACTCCGCCCAGATGATACCCTCCAGTTCTATACCTCTCCGTACCGACGGACGAGAGAAACGACCGAGGGTATTTTAGAAACCTTAACGTCAGACGATCCCGACCCCTCGCCTTTCAAGAGAAGCAATATGAAGGTATACGAGGAGCCAAGGTTGCGTGAGCAGGATTTTGGAAACTTCCAGCCGTGCAGCGCCGAGATGGAACGCATGTGGCAAGAACGTGCCGATTACGGCCATTTCTTCTATCGTATTCCCAACGGCGAGAGCGCTGCCGATGCTTATGATCGTGTCTCAGGTTTCAACGAGAGTTTGTGGCGTCAGTTCGGAGAGGATGACTTTGCCAGCGTCTGCGTCCTAGGTATGCAACCATTCCACTCACAAACCAGTAAACACTCGCCGCTAACCCTGAAATTAGTTACCCACGGTCTCATGTCTCGCATTTTTTTGATGAAGTGGTATCATTTCTCTGTCGAGTATTTTGAAGACCTACGCAACGTCAATCACTGCGAGTTTCTCGTCATGAAGAAACAGGTAGACAGTGGCAAATATGACCTCCAGAACAAACTTCGGACGTGGTCTGAACTACGACGAGAACGAGCTGCCATCAAGGCCAAGGAGGATAAGGAACCGGGCAAGACTGAGAAGCATAACCACACTCCTGCCCCGCCACGCAAATGGGGTGGTTGTCCTCAAGGCTGTAATCACGGCAAGAATTTTAAGATACGCGGTGATTTGGCTGAGCTACGGCAACACGACGAAAACAACGCTAAGCATGCTCTCACTCATACAGCTACTGAGGTTAATGGCACTATAGCCAGCCGAAGAAGCCCAGCTAAGAGAATTCAAGGCCCAAACAATTCCGATGATGACTCGGATGATCCTCGCAGTAGAGCCCTTCCGCATATCGACGTTACTAAGGCTCAAGAAGAGGTTGTTTCCTCGCCAGACGGAACGCCGTCATTCATAACGATAGATGATCGGCTGCGCAACGCGCTCAAAACCCCCCAGAAGTCGACATTTCTTCACCTCGGTCGCGACTTCGGGGGTACTTACTCGGGACATGCTAGTGAGGAGGAAGTTTCAGAGAATGACGCTCGCGAGCGTCTGGCCGCTAAGGCCGCGCGTGTTAAGAACGGGGAGAGGAGCGGGCTAACAACTAATGGCAGAGAGCCCTCGACTACCCGTCACGCGCACGCAAATAGGCTTGGTGATGCACCTAACAACTCGGACCAAGGATCGGACGGCGGCGACGAGGCCGAAGACCTGGATAAGGCTGAGCAAGAGGATAGGAGCATTCGAGGAAGCGTATACTAGGCTTTGAAGGAGGGTTTGATCGGATTCATAGTATGTGTTACTCATTTTCATATTGGTGATACCCTTTATGACTAGCGCATATATAGGATAGAATGGTCTAGCGAAGCGTCTACAATACAATATCTTTGTTCTTTATGGACCCCTATTATCTTGGAAGAAATATACTATTATCGTTTTGACGCTAGACATGGTCATTATCGTAGTTAAGAGCTAAGTAACTTGCAGTCATTGACACCGTCCCCTTTGTCATATATGTCCACAAGCGCTAAGAATCATAAAGAACAAAGCCACGAATCTGAATACCTTCTCATGCAATCCATGGCTCCTAGACTTTTTAAGACGCCTAGCTCACTTTCTTTTGGAAACCCCTGGTTTTACCAGGACTCCCATTCGAATATTCTACCATCGAATTTTAACTTTTCGCTTCTCTGACTCTTATATCTTTCATCATGGCTGAGCAGTGGTGGGAATTTTTACATAACATGCTATACAGCCAACCATGGATGCATCATAGCCTCGTATATGCCGAAACCAATCCCTGGACAGAATATTTCAACTCCACCCCAATGGAGAAATCAGTGACAGAACAGAAGGACGTACAGTCCGGAACTCCACATGTAACCAATTTCAATATAACTGCTAGTCAGCTCAAGCAGCCGCAAGACAGCGCTCACAAGTCGGATGTGCTGCCGCCGGGAGAATCGGCTGCTTCGTGGCTAAAGAAATATAAAGATAGCTTCATCCAGATTAAGCGATCGGGCGCGCTTCGTCACCATAGGTCGAATGTACAGTTGCCGAGGGTGAGGAGTGTGGTGGAGGTAAGACAGACGCAGAGGCGTGACACGTTGGATCGTCTGCTTAATCTTGATAATCTTGATAATGGAGTGGTTTTGCCTAGGGATCAGGACGAGCGGAATGTACAGCAAGATAGTAGTGTTCTAAAGCCGACAAGTCAGTGGCGAAACCGAGTATACCGCGTGCAGAAACGGGTAGGCGATTTCCTAAGGCGTGCTGGCGCTGTGGTGTATCCTGCCTCGGGGGTGGAGAAGAAGCATCTGGATATCTTCGAGGCGGAAACCAACCAAGACGAGAGTCTGCAACAGCAACAGCAGCAACAGCAAGTCGGCGAGGGCGAGCCAGTCCAGTACCCTGACCTGGGTGGCGAGCCATCTAAACTCGGAGAAGCCACTCCCACTAATAGCCAAGCCCAAGAGCACCAGGAGGTTAGCAACAACAACAACAACAACAACAACAACAATAGTGGTAACAAAATACCCCCCATCCCAGAGAGTCTACTCGTAGAACTCCTCGGAGAGCAGGAGGCCAGACTTATCGAGGAAAGGCTACAGCGACTCAGGGGGGAAGACGTTGCGCCTAGTAACAACAACGATGATGCGCCGGCCGCACCAACACCACCACCACCACCACCACCACCACCACCACCACCATCTAAAATCCTCACCCCAAGACCCTTCCACATCAGCCAGGTAGCACATCTAGCGCCCTCATACATCGCCGCACAAAAAGCACGACAGCGCCGCCAAGCCCCTCCCCCTCCCCTTCCCTCTACTACTTCTCCCTCGCGACAACCTCCTCATCGTGGAGCGGGGGGTGCTAATACCACCACCGCCACCACCACCACCACCATCGCCACGCGCAGCGGAAATAACAACGCACAGACACAAGTCGATACCACCCAACCGCGCGCACCCATACAGCCGCTGTGGAGAGGCGCCAGAGGAACTAGGGAGATCTGGTTTGGCGTTGGGCCCGGGACCGGGAGGGACGTGGGTGGGCGGAAGGGGCAGGGGAGGAGGGTTTAACCTAGGGGCTTGGTGCTCGGAGCTTGAAGCTGGAAGCTGGATCTAAATAGAAAGGTACAAGGTACATGTAGGTAGGGAGTTAATAGTAGGTTGGTGCGGTAGAAAGGTAGGTAGGTATTCTTGGGTATAAGTAGGTGCGAGGTACATATACTATAAAATATATGTTCAAGTCTATGTATGCCAGCATATTTGTTGGCGTTGTCTGTTGAAAGTAAAGCGATTATACTATACTATAACTACTAACTATCCAGAAACTGTATAGTTTTCGAACCTAGCTAGTCATACTCTTTTTAAACAGCAATGTGACCAGTCTCCTTCTGATAACCCCTTTTCGACCAGGAACCCCCTTTTCTAAGACTATATCGTCGCAACGGCAATATTCTACTTGTGTCAACTTAAACAGCCCATCATACCAATAGCTTGAATACCTAATAAGAAAAGCATATATATCCAAAGCTCTTTCGATTAATCATACGTATTCAATCCAAAAATTAACCTCAGCTAGGTTAACTTCTTCTCAAAACGTTACGACACATGTAAATCTTATAACAACCACGTTATAAGTCTGCTCATGTATACATTAGTTACAAATAGCTGCAAAGAGTAGTATCCGAATGAAGAACTTGTAGGTTAGTTGCTATCAGGCTTCTCGTCACTATTAAGCTTTTTATTAAAGGTAAGTTGACTGCATCAAATCTTGTTTTCATTGTTAATACATTTTTGTTTTTTACAGGTTGCTTGGTAGCACGTTTCTCTATCCCCATAATCGTACTGTGAAGCTACCAAATGTCGGGAGCCTGGATGATCATGAACTTGATGTATTAAAAGAAGATAGCTTATCGTGATGCCTATCAATAGCCCTCGATAGAAAAAGTTGTTGATCGGTCACGTTTGAGATTAGGGATCGGAGGGTCGTTTCCTACGTCGTAATTTAGGTATTCGTAACGGATGTTGTCCCGGGTGGTCTTGTTGAAAGAAGTCAACGTCCTCGTTGCTTATGGCACATGAAAAAGCGACACAATGTCATCGTTCAATGCAAAGCTATCGTCTGTTATTTTGTCCGCCCATCCCTATTCCTCCTTGTTCCAATGTTCTTCGGATTCTCTCGGTTTCGTGTAGTGTCGGAGGTCTTCCGTGCCATTGGAATGTCAATGGCGGTTGTTCGAGTCTAAGATCTCTTTGCCAGGGTGTTGGCGGGCGTACCACCGTGTCGTCATACGCCCTAAATTGTCAGTGAAGCTACCAATTGTAAGGACTTTTAGTGAGTAAGAACTTGGCGTCGCCGCTGATCTTTAGATTCTTGATGTGCTCATTGGGGCCGGAGGTAGACAAATCCTTTTTTCCATGTTGTCTCGCTATTCGTTGCGCTCTGTAATATGTTTGATATATTCGTCGATGTTAATATGGTCCGATGGTGCTAATACCATGCAACGCAAGTCCGAATCGAGGCCACGGTAAATTTGTTCCATTTGCTGCACTTTGTCGTTCCTTGTTCGAGTGACTGGATTGATGATCGAAGAGCACCTCAATCTCAGGTGATACCCGGGCGCGTAGCTCATAGTGTAACCACTTACAGTACTCAAAGTTCTTGTTATATTGGATAAAAGGCCCGTATTGGCGCATGAATAAGAAGCTTTGCTGTACGAATAAGAAGCGTTCGTCAATCGCGTCCAGAGTTCTAGCGAGGGCCCAATTGTGTATAGAAACACCTTTGAGGCAATGTGCTTCGGTGTATTCAGCGGTCCGAAGTTTTTGCCATGCTTCACGAGGAGTTAGTATCATCGTAGCCATTTGTCTCCTCGGCAGACAACTCCTCGGTTAACTCAACCAAGGAACTTTAGACGGAGGAAAGGGTAAAATGGAAATACAAGAAAAAAGAAAAGAAAAAGTATGTCTTACACGGCGCCCCCGCCATCAGCTCATCGCTTTAGCCTCCTCCCGGTGTTCGTGGGAACATCAATGACTTCGGGGTACGCGCCGGGGTTGCCGGTGCTTGAACCACATCTTCGTTGTCGTTTTCTTCGATGTCTTCAGCGTAGGATCTCATTTTCTTCTGTGCAGGTTTATACGACTTTTTCGATGCATTAGTGGATTGGGCTACTGCTCGTTTTCTTTTCGAGTTGTCGAGCGACTGGAGGGCTTCTTTCAGTTGGTGTTGCTTTTGGTCTTTATCGAGTGCATCGACCATTTTCATTGCCTTCGCGAAGCGATTGATATCTCTTTTCCATTGCGCAATACCATATTCTTCTCCATCCAAGCTTGTTTTAAATTCATCGAAGGCTTTTTCAAGTCGCTCGAGCTTTTGGTTGTATCGATCCTATTGTTGCATCATCAACTTTTGGTTTTCCAAGATCTCTTTCAAGGTGGCATCGATGGAATCCTTTGTGGCCATGATCTCGTTTTAGAGTTTGTCGCCACTGTCGTTCTGATTGTCGTCGTCGTCCGGCTTATCGTCTCGATAGAGGGCTGCTTCTCTGGGTTACCCCCGTGTGCTTCTTTCCGCAAGCAATTTAAACATTTAGTGTTGTCCTCACGCGGCGGACCTTGTATCTTTTGAAAGCAATAAGCTCCTCCGGCACCGGCACAGGTGTTTTCAACTTCATAAGTGATACTCTCATGCTTGCAGAGTATGTGGAGTGTTTTTCTGAGGGATAGGGGAAAGGCTTTCTCATGATAAAGAAAAGTTCCATCTTTGGTATAAGAGAGAAGAGTCCCCCTTTTAGACCAGTGTTTGAAGTGAAGGAAGTGTGCCATATAGATGAAAGAGGCCAAGCGAAATTAAGCTCAAGCACTCACGCTGGATATACCTTTATATAAAAGATGAAAATTCCATCTCAATCTCCAGTCGGCTTCGCCTGGTGTCATTCGAAATTCGTCGAATAGCTTGCCCAATGCGTACTCATTGTCTGCGAACATTGCGTCGCGATGGTCTTGAGACAATATGCCTACGTACCAATTCATCGCTTTTCCTCTATATAGTTCGTGGCCCTAAATTGTCAATCGACCAAAGGTTCCATCCTTCGCCTCTTTCGTTGCGCTGTGTACCCATGTCGGCAAGGAAGCCTCTGGTTGCCTTTCATCTAGTGTTGAAAGTATTTTCGCTGTTATTAGATAGCCTGAGAGCCGCTATTAGGGCTGTTAGCGACTTGCATAATTCGTTTGAAGAGACTGCGTATGGAAGTTCTTTCTGCCCTTCTGCTTAGAGTACTCGTCCGCGTGGTGCTGGAACTTGGTCAGGACGGACTCGGCTAGGAAGTGATCCGTGGCGTCTAGCTCGTCGGACGCTGCGGTCTGAGGGTCTTCTCGACTGAAAGATCTCACTTCGCTTCGAAGAAACCGTTATCGTAGCTGTTCGATCGCACGAAAATATCGGCGGTATTTAGCTCGACTATACTCCCAACCGCAGTCAACAAAGAGCCAATATATTACATCCTAGCCCCGAATATTTGGTATATAGAATGGCCGTTTTCTTATTTCGGCTTGAGAGCGTATGCTTTAGGTATATGTCCTCTTCTTTAGCTAAAGCTTGGCAATTTGCCGGCAATTCCGATACGACGCGAATATTTATATTCGATATCGATCCAGTCTTGATATAAGATTTCCCAGCTGGTTAAGTCATCCTAGTCGAAGTTGTTCGTCTAAGCTCTTATTAACCGTAATGATGCTAATCTGTGGATAGAAGGGTGGTTGTCGCCGATGAATGGGAGTAACTGTTGAGGATCCCCGAGTAATATAAAGAGCTTGACCGCAAAGAGAGAGGAGATGCACATGGCGGTGGTAAGCTCCCTCATACGTGCATTTTCATCCATTACCACCAACGTAGGCTCAAACGCCTTCCTGAAGAAAGTCTCGCGAGCCGCGGCCGGGGTGGCGAAGACGATCTGTGCCTCTTGCAGCAGCATTACGGTTAATGCCACTGCGTGTTGAGGTTGGACAATGAGATCGCCATTATTGTCCACTATGGCGACGAACGTATAAATGTAGATTAGTATTAGTGGAAGTGGCTTAGGGGTTCGGAACGAGTTCGTCTATATCACAATAGCAATCAACTGAATCAACATCTTCGAATAGTATGTCCATTTGGCGCTGAACATAAGCGTTGCTATTCTTGTATCCCATAACAAGACAATGGAATGTGTATTGTCCTTTGGCGGTTGTGATGGTCAGAGCCCATCGTGTAGAAGGGTGAGTACGCCATTGATAATAGAAGGTGAGGGCGTCCATCACTGTCATGAAGGCTTTAGGTGCTTAGTTGACCTGTCAATCCGTTTTTATCACTACCCGGCATGGAGAGTGGGTACCGTCCCCGTCTCTAATACGGAACTGGGCTCTGGCGTTGGTGTATTTGACTTCCGTACTTGCTCATCAAGCTCCGTGCGCTCGAGCGACGATAGGTGAGTCGGGAGGTGATGTAGTGCTAGATCTACTGTCGTGCTGTCCCTACGTCCTCGCACCATAGGCCAGTACTCGCTAAACCCGTCGATCTCTAATCGGCCAGTCCGAAAACAACCACGGTGAACCGCCTCAAACAAGGCATCGTAGTCGAATGTGTCCTCCGCAACATACACCCCAGGCTCGCGGATATCTCCGCGCCCTGGCACTTTGTTGATTCCGTTGTTAATAGCCCATCGCACCCATTGTCTTGGTAGTGGGATTTGCGCCGTTAGATACCGATACACGGACTGTAGCTGACCATTCGGATGAAAGAAGCGCGTGTCTAACGGCGGTGCCACTGGTCTCACCCGGGTGGGCTCTGTTTTAGTTCCGACTGCGGTCAATTCCTTTTCTTGGACGTTGTCCTCTTCTCTCTTCTTTTCTTCCTTATGGGCTGTTATTGCCTCTGCAGGCGTGGGCTGCTGCTGATTCTGCTGCCCTCCCTCGTGCGTAATGCTTGGCTCTACCGCTGGGCCCTCAAGGATTGCAGCAACTTGAGTCAAAATATGAGCCGCAGTGTGGCGAGCGGTACAGATTGCCCTGTAGATAATTATTCGGTTAGTAGGGACGGCGCGGCGTGGTGAGGCATTCTGATCGGCCGCAAGGTTATGTTGGGGGGCTGTCGTCTCGGGGAGGACACCAGGGTGAGTCGCAGCGCGAGGTGAATCTTGTGGTGGCTGTGCTGAAGTGACTTGCTGGTGATATCCCTCTTTTCGAGCCTGGATAAAGATATCCTTATGTCCCTCTAACCAGACATCAAGGGTCTCCTTAGTGGGTAATGAAGCAGCGCCATATTTGCTATTTCACTTTGTTAGCTAGGTATACAGCTATATATATTTAGTTTTTTTTCCCCTGGGCTTCGATGCTCACTGGGATATTATTTTGGACCAAGTGAACAAAGAAGATTTTGATGCAAAGGGGAGGAGAAAAAGAAATTATAGATGAAGCGGCAGATACTTAAGGCGGTAAAGTGGTTACCTGATGCCCAGCAACAGATCTGAATATAGGAGTGGGGAATGAGAAAAGGTAATTATGAGCGACAACTTACTCCGCATGCTCGAACAGAGACTTAGTTAGCATTATTGTGTTCAAATCGTTGCTGCTCCGACCCTTAGCAGAAACCTGGTTAGAAGGGTTGGTTGCTGGTATAGTAAAGAATACTACTGGCAACGGCTGTTTCAACTTGGTTGCCAGGCTGCGACGGCGAATCACAGTCTTAGGAGGGGGTGAATGGGGGCGGAAGGGATCGGTCCTCTTGAACGGATCAGTTAGTTTCTGACGTTTTAAAGAAGGTTCTTCGACGGACTGTTTGGTCTCCGGTTGTGTCTGTACTGGAGCTTGTTGTGCTGCGGCTTCTAGTTCGGCCTTGCGTTTTCTCGTGAGAGGAGTCATGGTGAATAAATAGTAGATTTAAAATAGTGCGAGAGAAGCTTGGTGTTTGCGAAAAGTAAGAGTTGCCTAGAGCCGAAAAGGGCGACGTTCTTGTTTAGGCAAGGTGTTTGTCTCTCTTGTTGATCAAGATTGTAGATGAAAATTAAATTGTGCGAGGGCTGTGGAAGGAAGAAAAAAAGTCGAATTAGTGGCGGGAGAGCTGTCTTTATATATTATTTGGAAAGGGGTCTGGGAAAGGATGACCTGGGAAAGGACGACCGTTTGATATAAGGTTTGAAGTTGTACAACGAGCTAATAAGTAGAGTAAACTGTAACCTAGTGACAACGCGGATTGAGCACGCGGTGTGTAGATGATGACACACGTTGTACAATACTTAGGAAGTTACGTGGCAGCAAGAGGAAATAAGGTTGCCTTCGTTGTGACTGCCTAACTTAAACGTAATATTGGTATATACTAGTATGTACTAAAATACTCGTATCATTTATTATGTGTACCTGTATGTGTACCTGCATGTGTATCTGAAGGTTCATCATAGGATATCGACAGATACTCTAAGCCCCTTTTCTATTTCAGCTGAATATAATTATTACCTAACACATATCCTTCTACATGCCGGTTCATGACATCCCCCTTAACATCGACAAAACTTTCAGTGTAACTATCTCCAAAACATCTCCTCTTCTATCGGCTCCATGTCTTCATGGAACACCGAAACTGTATCCCGCACATGTGTGACTAGAAGCAGCCCTATCCGCTCCCGAACCACTGTTCCAAACGGTAGCAGGATGCGGAACAAACCAGACGAATAGGAGTCTGACCCTACAAGCTCTCGCTCGCTCCGTGGCCATAAGTTTATCCGAATCAAGACAACGTAGACGTATTTATTGTAGGTTTTCGCCATCAGGGCCAGATCTACCTCGAACCCGTCCGGCACACACGTTTCCTCCCCTCCTCGTGCCGCCTTGAGGTCGTAGTCTGCGTGAAATTCTCCAACAGCGGACCCATCTACATGGATCTCGTAGCGGGCCGCTCCGGACGCATCCTCCAGCTTGCGGTTCGAATCTTCCGGGGCATAATGCACAGCGGCCTCGAATATAGGGCAATGGACCTTGAGCCAGGTTGGCTGCATGACCTGGCCGAATTGGTCAAACTCAGAGACCCGGACGTTTCCGTCTGTGACGTCGGCGTACTTCTTAGCTATGGCGCGGTGGTGTGCTTCTACGTAATTCACGGCACTCGTGGTCGAAACCCACGACCAAGTTGGTCCCCGCCACTCGTCAGGACGCCGCGCTCGGTCGTCCTCGGCGGCCCAGAGCAGGTCAACATCGAGAGTCAAATTCCAGAGACCGGCACAATACGCGTCACCATCTCGGTGCCGGTGCATCTGCCTTGCTAACCCTGCGAGTGCCGGTAGCGCATCATTCTGGTAACTTATCTTGAGACCCGAGTATTCCTGGACAATCTCGTGCCAGCGATCTATCTTGCGAGGGAGCGACTTTGCGACGAGAACAGAGTAGTGGTCCCTCTTGGGTTCGACCAAACGAGGACCAAAACTCCCGGCGTGGCGATACGGAGGACGGATGTAGGCCCCATAGATTTCCGTTCCGTCTTTACACTCACAGACAGTTCTGCACATACACTCCCACGAGATTTCATTGTTCTGGAAATGCAGTACGCGCCGTGATAGGATACGTTCTTGATAAACCCAGCCGCGGTCTAGTAGCGGGAACTCGACGATTTGCTCTGGCGAACCTAATATGGAGCCGCAATGCGGCATCATTTGGCGAAAGTACAACGTGAGCTCGTCTTTCCCCAAGGATGAGACAGATACCTTATGAGTTTCGAATTGCGGGTTAGTTTTGGAGAAGCAGCCGCCGTCATGATCTGCGGATCTAGTTGCCGCGATGGTCAGGTGCCCGTTCTCGTAGATACTGGCCATTCTAGCGGCTTCCCTTGCCCAATCGTCCTTGTCATCCTGAACGATACACAGCGAGTCGATCCAAATGTAACGCAGGCCGAGACGACGAACAACCATGATGGCATCCTGGAACGTCAAGCAAAGAGCTGACCATGGGATCCGATCTTTCCGTTCCCCCATATTGTCTTTGGTGGTCGTGATACTTCCATTACCTCCCCAACAGTGGCTCAAGCAGGAGTAACAAGACAAACTACCATTGAGCTCCACGAGTCTCACGTCTTTGGTATGATCAATCGATACGTCGATGAGGCGTGTCGGAGCTGGCTTCTCATTCCCACCGCCGCAGCTGTCATGATCTTTTATACATTCCTCCAGCCACTCCTTAGCCTGATCCATTGCAGCGTCCACACTTGTGTCCCCACAAGGGATTGCGCACACCGGAACTTTCTTCTCATTCCAATGCTCATCGCCCCCGAGCTGGAACATACAGATGCCGTATCTATTTGGTGCATCGTCCTTGGATCCCCTTGGGAGAACGCGAGCCAATCGATTCTGGAGACATGAGCTGTCTGTGAGCTCGCTCTCCGGAACGCACTGTCTGATTCCTTTGCTGATCAGGAGGCAATACTTGCAGCCTTCCTTGGCACTCGCCTCGAGCTCTAAGATGGATCTCCTCTTCCACCTATCCATATTCGTGCCTTCGGTCGCAAGGTCGCCGCATACTGGGCAGCCGATAGGTTCCACGTTGGATTCTACGTTGGATTCTGTATCTTTCTTAGCCTTGTCACCCCAAAGATTCGGGGCTCCAAACGGCAGAAGCATCGCAAAGTGATTGCCGTCTTTCCAAAATCTAAACCCGCCTGGATATTCCACATCGATCTCATCGCCATCAGATTCCGTTGCGCGAGGATCGCCAGCCTTGTCATCTGGTACGTCCGCCATCGTTATTACCAAGCCTTGCGACACCCCTTTTTTCTAAGACGCGAAGTACAATACGCAGATTATGCTGCCTGATACTCGTTTCTGTCATGAAATGCTTGAGCTATGCCTTCTTCCTTGTTGGGGATCGTGTGAGATTTATGCCTAGCCTCGCAAGCGTTCCTGGTATTTAGGCATCGATTCTCTGGCGCTGCAGGCTGAGCACAAGATGCATCCAATAAAAAGGTTGTAAGCATACGTACAGACGAATCCCCTATTCCGTAGAATGTAGCCCAAGACAATAACCTTCATAAATTAGGACATTCGGGCACCATGCCGTCTTGAAGCCTTAATCATATCTAAGTAGCTATATTGAAGAAGCAATATATTAGTTCTGACCATAGTCCTCGAATATGAAACTCAAGCGCATCAGAATATTTTTTTCGCCTTCAAGTACCAATCCCATAGCCTCTACCCAATGTGATTCAGAACTCCGGTCGGAGATCGGTACCACAAGATATCAAATTTGGGGCATAAGCAAGCGGCAGACAAAATAACATACATGAAATAACCCTGAGGCAGCTGATACCAGATACAGGAGTAAATAAATTCTAAATAGGAAATAATTGAAAATAAGTAAAGAGACATTGGATATATTAATTATCTGGAGATTAACCCCTATTAACTCAGTTCTATCCTTAGCTTTATACTGGGGTAGCAGAATTGGGCTCCCAAAGTCAACAATACAGCAGCAGCAGCACTGGCTCACTCACTCACTCAGAAACCCCTTTATGACTAGATCGGTATTGTATATTGGACTGGGATTCATAATAAAGTCATTCAGTTCTCTGAATCTTCTGTTCGTAACGCTTAAAGGTTACCTCCATCTAACAGCGTTGATAATTAATATGAATTTGCTATTAAGAGTCAGTATACTTTTGCTTGACTACCCATTACAAGACGGGGAACTCCAAACATGTCTGGTACTCCAGACGAAGGAAGGCCTTAAGGAGCCGCGTTATTCAATTTGTGTACTACTTATGACTCAGTCGTGAGTTTGTATTGCTTGTCACTACCATTCTTACTACGTACCTACGTGGTAGTCAAGCTCGTAGCGTTACCGTTGAAGAACATGTAAGTGCCATTCAACTATATTTTCAGGTGATTATGACTAAGTACCTGGGCACATGTAGTATAAAGGTGTTGCAAAGTACATACCTCCTAATGACACTAATGACACAGAAGCAACTTGAGGTATCTACCTAGGTAAGTATGCACTTTCCTTAGATAAAATCTTCAATGATATAGAAGTGAGGTTAAGAAAAACAAAAAGTCCCGGATCTAGGTTTAAGATACCTACCTGATGTAGTGTTGCAAAGTTAGTAGACAATAAATGAAAAGTTTTAAAAGTCTAAAAGAGTTGAGAGTTGGGATGATTTCTCGGAATAACTAGTGGGACTTGCAAAGTGTCAACTTCCCTCGATAACTTCGTTGTAGTTATTAAACCAGCGATGTTTAACGAAAGTTCTTCCCCGTTCAATATTGAAATTGGAAGAGTTACCACCTGCTTACCGGAAAGGGGTTGTGATCATTCACGACAAGACATCAAAGTACCGACATAGTTTCATCGTTCCACGAATAAGGTAATGTCTCACAAGCAACATCAACAGACCAATATGGTAGCAGAGCCATCTAATTCACCTATCTCGTGGCTTTTAGACCAGCCGTTCGTACGTGGGTATGTCCTCTCAATATTCCGTATCTAGTAGGCTCGCTCGGCATCGTGATCAATTATTTTATTTTATTTCCCCATTTAGTCGTCACCACCACCCAGGCCGGGTGCTCCCACTTGCTGCGCCTTCTTCGCGCTGCAGATATCGTCAACTCTCAGTAAGAGACAGGCAGCCTAAAACAATAGTCAGTAAAGCGTTTTAAGCGGAATGATCGTGTTAAAACTTACTTCTATGGCGGTCTTGATACTCTGGAGCTTGATAGCCTCAGGCTCCCAGATGCCATATTCCTGCATGTCCACGATCGATCCGGTATCCCCGTTAATACCCCACGAGCTCTTGCCTTCCGCTTGCTTAGCACGAAGCTCGGTAAGAACTCTCACGGGACTAGCACCGGCATTCTGTACTAACGTCCGGGGAATGACTTCTAGGGCCTCGGCAACTGCCTTGTATGGCCATTGCTGTACGCCTTCAATATTCCTCGCTAGCTGGTTCAGGCGTACTGAGACTGCCATCTCCGTAGCTCCACCACCTGGCGATAGTCTGGGGTGGAACATAACGTTCCGGGCTACTCCCATAGCGTCTTGGAGGTTTCGTTCAATCTCGTTCAATATATCCTTGGAAGGTCCTCGAAGTAGAACTGTGCACGCCTTGGGGGTTTTGCACTTGGTAAGGAAGGTGAAGTATTCATCGCCAATCTTCTCGATTTCGAATAGTCCACACTTGGTTCCGATATCCGACTCCTGGAGATCATCCACCCTGTTCACAATAGTCGCACCAGTCGCTCGAGCTATTCTGTTGTTGTCTGTCTTTCGAACTCTACGCAACGCGGTGACATTTGCCTTCACGAAGTAGTGCTGCGCGAGATCCGACACACCCTTCTCCGTAATGACTAGGTCAGGCTTGAAGGCCAGAATAGACTCGCACATGGACTTAACCTGCTCCTCTTCAATCTGCAGAATACGGTTCCAGTCCTCCTCTTTCGTGATTTCAATATTAGTTTGAGATTCACCCTTCTTATATTCCAGCGGACAGTCGAGTAGAATGATTCTGGGGTTCTCGATCCTCCTTCGCATCTTGGGGTGAGTAATATCCTTGTTGAGCATCACACCGTCCAAGACTTTGCTATCCTCGATCTCTCCACCTGGAACCTTCTCCACGCGGGCATATCGCTTGATATCGACTTCTTGCTTGCCATTTCCTGCCTCCCAAGTGACCGTCCTGACAGCATTAAGAGCTAAACTGCACATCAAATCTGACCATCTCGAAACGAACTTGGTGCCGATAGAAGAAGAGATCAAGCTAAACATAGCCTTGTCGTCGTTGATATCGATGGGTAAGGATATCTCGTCGATAATCTCTAGTGCATCTTTGAGAGCGCGCTTGAAGGCGGAAATGATAACGACCGGGTGTATATTTCGCTCTAGTTGTGGGAGTGCGTGTGCTAGAATCTCACCGGCTGGCATATAGTTAGCCCCACGAACATACTTTCTACCGCTTATCATATCACTAACCTAAGATAATGACCGTCGTGGTACCGTCGCCGACTTCCTCGTCTTGTGTTCTGCTAAGTTCGATCATGCTCTTCGCAGCGGGATGTGACACTTCGATTTCTCGTAGGATAGCGTGACCATCGTTGGTGAGGACAATACCACCCATAGGATCTAACAGCATCTTCAGCATGGCCTTGGGACCAAGACATGATCGAATAATATCGGCAACGCTAGAGCTAGGGTTTTAGCGAGGGAAGTTTAAGGGTCGAATAGGGTAAAGGGAGACATACGTCTTCGCGGCGGCGATGTTAGACAGCTGAGCTTTTCTTCCAGTCTGTCTATCACCACTTTGGGTGTCTAGGTTGGGAATACACAGTTAGTAGCTATTTCCCACATTTTGCCCAAGCTTAGCTCTCATGGAGGGGCGAGGGGCTCACTCATAACCAAAACGGGAGCCTGCATGTTGAAAGAGGTGCTCTGTCGTGGTGTTTGGATTTCGGTGCTATCAAATTAAATGGGAATAAAATACACTCGGTATCGACTCGCACCAGTAGTAAAACGACGTATTCCCGGTAAAAAGTGGCGTATCGCGAAGCTTGCCTTCTAATATTGAAGGTGTTTGTCGCCTAGAAATTTTGGAAGCTCCCCCGCGGGAAATGGAAAAGTTATTTCACCGTGCATGAGATCCACCTAGGTTACACGACCACTACCTATCTTCATGGCCCTATTACGTCACTGAGGTAGAGTAGCCTATCTACCTGGTACCTACGTACCTTTCTAAGTATTCTAACCTACATATGTGCAGACACGCGCACGCACTTTAATTCAACGTCATGTAGGCATCCATACGGAATAGGTTATAGGTAGTAGATCATCGGTGTATTATATAATACTAATACTATTCATTTCGCATATTGCGGTCTTGTCTGTGTTGGCATATGAGCTCAAGATGAAGACGCCTCTAGCTTACAAGTGCATTACAACCAGACGGGGTACGGAGAAGACACCGAAAACTTATAACCCTAGAAATATACTGTTCCAATTCCTCGAGATATTAAACCGTAAGTCTCCAGCTGGATATGTTTTCGCCTAGACAGGATGCAATTCCTAAGATCTGCCATAAACGTGGTTGCTCGTGAGAAATACGTAGCTCTAGCTGTGGTCAAGACGTGGACATGTCTATTCGACAGTGAATCCCATAAGTTGACTTACCTCGCCGTAATATACAACTCTTTGCATCTGTCATTACAATCTACATAGTTATGAGGTAGTTATAGAAGAAGCCATGCCATCCCTTCATACCGAACTCAACTGAATAAAATCTATGCCAATCAGTAGTATATATGGGCAACTCGACTCGTTCTAGTCAAGTTTTCGTACTCGCCTTATATTGATTGCCCTAGGGACCCCTCGAAACACTTAAGCAAACCAGCTTCTATCAAGAAAGGGGGAAAGAAGAAGAAAAGAGAAAAAAAAACGGTGATAATGAAAACTCGACGCTCGTCTTAGAGATATCCTCCCCAAAAAATAGGGGCTGGACATCTACCAAGAAAGACGATGGCCACAATAGCCGGGAATCAAATATCAAGAAACATGATCTTAAATAATATGTTAGCACGAATAATAGTATACATACTCCTTACTATGATAAAGCTTACCAACACGAAAGCATCCTCCTACT